TGTGTGAGGCACGTGAGTGGGATTAGGCATAGAAAATTAGAAGGGTATGAGGAGTATGAGAGAGGCATTGGAGGCAGAGCTGGAATCCACTTCGTTTTCATCTTTATTTCTCTTTTTCTGTTTGACTGCTTTATTATCCCAACCCAGTTAGGTATTGATTTCTTAGTCTTTGCAATATGGTTATGGTTATGTTTAAACTCTCCGACAATACTTAGATCTTGCAGGAACAGTATTTCTTTTCTTTAAATTATGAGTAGGATTGTCGTCCTCTACTTGCAACCAAAAGTCAAATCTAGTGTCTGATTCAATGTCCCAAATTTGGAATACTGTGATTGTTGGAAGCCAGTAAGGCAGCGAATAAAAAGGTTAGGCGACTTCGTGGCGTGGCGTAATTGGCCCAAATTACGCGCCATCTTTGCCTCTTTCGCGGCCAATATCTCCCGTAATTCCGGCGCCCTCTATCCCCGTTTCGTTTTCCCCCGTCGTTTTAGCAGGTTTTGGTGACCCACCACCGACTCACTAAACTCCCACTCCAATTAAACATTCATTTAAAATATTAAATTAAATAAAGTCTGTATTGGGTTAGTTATTTGAATATTCAAAATATAGGGTACAATAGGCAATGCATTGAATGTCATAAAACTGTATTTGGAATCAATTAAATAGGATGACAAAAGTATAAATATTCAAACACTCCCAGGATAATATCCATCCAAATTTTAATGAAATTCAATTCGTACCACATAAAATCAAGTAGAATTTATGGCATGCAATGCGATTTTTAAAATAACGAAAATAAAAAATAAATAAAAAAGTTGTTGACGTCAAATATTGAGTTTACAAATTAGGGTTTTTCGTCATTCCCTTGGTTTAGTTTAACGGTAAATGTAAAATGGAAAGGCGGTCCAAGTGGGACCCCACCGATCTCACCTCGTGCAGAGCGGCAGCCTATTTTCACGCTACGGTTTACTAATGTAATTTTGATTTTTAATTTTTAATTTTTAATTTTTTAAAAGAGGGTTTTTATATTTTATAAAACAAAAACAAAAAAAGGTTAATAATATAGTGGCGCCAAGGCCAACTGGCGCAAGCCTTGTGGAAGGGACGCTTTACAAATCAAGATGCACGTAGTCACACTCACCCACGACCCCCCTCATTACTCTTTTATTTAATTTTTTATTTATATTTTCTATAAAAATTCGCTTCCTTCTTTCTATAAAGAATCCTTCTCGTTTGCATCTCTGCCCTCTTCACCTTCTTCTATTCCCTTCCGTATTTCACAATTTCTAGGCTTCGCGCTTCCTCTCTTTCTTGCTGCTCATGGCTGACAGTTTGGACGACGGCGAGTTTTGGCTTCCTCCTCAGTTTCTTGCTGATGACGATAATATGCCCAGCCCAAACACTTGTGCTACCAACAAAAACAGTGCCCTAAACTGCTTGGCTTCCACTCCCTTCCCGCCTCCACGCCCTTCCTTCCCATTTGAGTTCGGGACTTTTGGTGGATTTTCGGATTTCAGTTCTCCTGGTGAATCGTTGAAGGGTTCCAGCGAGACGGAGAGTGACGAGGAGGATTGTCTCGCTGGATTTACTCTTCGTATGGCTCAATCAACCATTGATGACGGTTTCGACTCTTATAATTCTAAGGTTTCAATTCGGACCTCATTGCTCTGTTTCTTTTACTGTTATTTTTGTCTAATTTTGGTGGATTTGTTTTTTTCTTTTCAGACAAGCCTCTTGTCCGGATCTCCGCAGTCGACTCTGTGCGACATGGGGAGTGGTAGTGGTTGCAGTCAAGTTTCCAGTCGTGGTAGTCCAAAAAGTAACTGTAAAGTTCCATCTCCTCCAGCTACATGCGATCTGCTGCATGCGGCGGCAGGGGAAGTTGCGAGGATGCGAATGAATGAGAGTCGTGGTGTTATTTCACAGAACAGAGGAACATCTCAAGTCTCTGTTCCGGTGAAAAACTCGAGCACTGGTACCGGGTTTTACCAGCAGTTGCAGGCTATGCAAGTAAATATATTAACCAACCCCTTTATGTCGTTTAAATTATTTGGTCGACTGGTTAGCTGTACTTGTGTTGAATTAGTAATCGATTATGATTCCTTATTGGGCTCATATTCTTTGGCAGGTTACGCACCTGAATCAGAAGGAAATTATGCAGCGACAAAACTTGACTGTCGGTGAGCAGATGAATTCTCCTGCAGGGTATCAACGGCAACAGGTCCATGTAATGGTTCAGAATGGAGTGAGGGGCTGTCGGGGATTGTCGTCATCTGCCTGGATTCCGCCGCCGCAGGGCTCTGGAACGAGGGCTCTGTTTCTCGGAACTCAAGGAAGCAAAAGGGAATGCGCTGGAACTGGTGTATTTTTGCCTCGACATAGCAGCACTCAATCTGATGAGCAACGCAGAAAGCCAGGTAATCTAAATTCCAAGCATGCGGAAGCAGAATGATAAGTGAGCATTAAACTAAGAACCCTCACGAATTGGGTAATGTTTTAAGCAAATCACGAGTTTGTTTTTCTCCCCACAGCCTGTTCTACGGTGTTGGTACCTGCAAGAGTGATGCAAGCCCTGAACCTTAACCTTGAGGATATTTGCAGTCAGCCTCATGTTCAACCCATGGGTGGCGGAAGATTGAATTCAGAGAACGGTAAAATTACATCCTCCGTCGTAAATTATTATGAACACAGCCCTCCCCGGCTTCCACAAATTGATCGAATCATTTCTGTTTTCGTTACTGTGATTGTGTAGATGTTGTCCTGAGGCTGCAAATCAACCGTGGTGGAAATTATGAAAAACGAAACGGCCGTGGGCAGTTACCAACAGACCATGAAATCAAGCTTCCCCAGGAGTGGACATACTGAAACGAAATTAAGTTACGCAATATGATGAAAGTAATTCAAAATTGGTAAAAAGGAAGGAGACGACAAAAGAAGGCGGTGCATTTGATTTTGTGGTTAGATTTAGAGAAAAATAACAAGGTTTTGGTGGGGGGGATTCCAATAGGGAACAAAATGGGTTAGGGGTAGAGAGCAGGCAAGGCAGCTATATAACAAGGGGGTATAGCAACTTTATTTTGTTGTTTGTTGGGTGAGGGAGTTTGGGTCACTCAGTCAAACTGATGAACAAAAGAAAAGAAGAAAGAGGGTATTTTCCACCTCTTTTGTGTCGATAAATATTTTTCTAGATTCTCTATAGAAGGCATGTGCATCGGGGGGGCCCTTGGGAACTTTTTTGGGACTCTCTCTACTCTTCCCTCCCCCACTTGGTTATGCGTATACCCAACCAACACATTTTCAGTAATAATAATTCTAATGATAATCCCTTTCGCATTACTCTATTGAACAGGAAATTCATAATTATATGTTGTTCCGCTCGACTTGAATTGGGATTGAAAACGATGGATTTATAGTAACGGTTAATTAATTTGTTTAATTAAAACCAACAGAATAATTGCGTAAATGGATAAGGAGTAGGAGAGGTAGAGAATATAATATTGTATATAGTTGGCTTAAGAGGGAAGAATCTCCTTCCCCACTTGCCTGCCCTGCCCAACTCTGCCCCTTCGGCCTAGATATTCAAAGTTGATGACGTAGGCCACGTACGTGTCACAAACTTGTTCACGTGGCAGCTCTCGTGTTTACGAATTATTTGGGTTTAAAGAAATAAAGGGCCAAAGTAAACATGGGTGCAATAGAATGGTAATAGTCGTCCAAATATAAGCCTTACCAAGGAAGCACGGAGATTTTATTTATGAATAGGAGGAAAAGGAGATAGTGGGGGCCTAGTGGCGGATGGCGTTAATCTGGGGGAGTGATATCAACTATCATCTCTCACTTGACAACAACCCTCACATGGCGCGCACTATGGATGTTTCCCATTTGCGCGCACCTTACCCCATTTAGTCCCACCCGGTGCACAACCGTCTTTCCGGCGCCCGTGGCGGTGTTAGGGTCACACGTCCTTTTCATACCCATCGGTGGAGAAACGATGGGCGGGGGGGTTTCAAACACAAACAAGAAAATTTCTTTTCTTCCTGACTTCCTCACTTACGCTTTACAAGCGCGTGTGGTTCACTGACGTAATGTGCGGGAGTGCTAATGGAATTTAAAACGCCGTCTGTATGAGTCATATAACAAAATATTTATTATTCCCTTCCGTTTAAAGGAAACAAGAAGGACATGGTAGTAATTTAAACCGATATCATTTTTTTTTTTTTTTTTAATTTTAATATGCTTCATCTCCTTCCGTTGCCATGCAGGACTGAAGTTCGGGGGGGTTTAATGGCCAGAAATCTGGACCATTCTGGCCATGGGCTTCTTGAACTGGTATTTAGGCACGGTCACAGTTAGTACTCCGTTATACATTTCCGCCTTCACCTTATCCACATCAGCGCCGTCCGGCAGGACGATACGCCGGTAGAACTTTCCACTGCTTCGTTCAACACGGCGCCAGATATCGGTTGTCTCTTCTTTCTCAGCCCTAATTTCGACGCTGATGCAGATAGCTCCACTCTCTTCAATCTCCAGTTTAACTGCCTGCTTCTTCACTCCGGGAAGCTCTAACCTCAACACGTGCGCATCCGCAGTCTCCTTCCAGTCGATCTGAGCGTTGACGGCCGAGGAATTTGAGGCCATGGAAGTACGGAAGGGATCGGCCACGGCGTCTTTCTCACGGATATGATCGTAAGAAGGCCGATCCTCAACGTAGTAGCGATCCTTTCGGTCCTGATGTAAGTTGTCGAATAAGCGCCGACCCTGGACGTAGTTGCGTTCTTTCCGATTCTCAGGGGAGTTGTCGTATGAAGACCGCTCCTCCACGTAGTAGCGTTCCTTCCGATCGCTAGGGAAGAAGTTTCTGAAAGGGATCGACATTTTTATCGAGTTGCTTGCTTGGTTGCAGTTGAATGAGTATTAGTAGTTCAATTTATAGAAGGAGGAGGGTTACATAAGAGTTTGAAAGATTTAGATGGAGTGGGATTGATTCCATTTTTGGTGGAAGTCGCGGTCTATTGATTATTCTATGAAAAATTCACGCGGTTCCATCATATCATTTTCTGAATTTGTTCTCTGGATTGAGGTGACTTCGACGAATTGGCGCACGGCACGGCGTCGGAAGAAGATTGGAGGCAAGGGAATTGAATTCGGATCCGTCTGGTGTTCCGTGAAAATAATACGAATATCACATTCCATTTGGTGATTACGAAGATACAGATTTAAGTTGTGTTTGAAAGTGGATACAAACGCGAACTCCCCTAGAACCATTTCTAAGAATGGGCCTCGTTTATCTGGGCCGATGGGCTGTGGAAGTGGGCAAGGCCGTAGCCTACCCTCCTAGCTGCTCCGCTTTTCCAGGTTTTCATGCAACATTCTCACCTTTTGATTTTGGATTTTTGAATTTGTTTTTTCGCTCACGAGTTTCCTTCGCAATGGAGGAGAGCGAAGAAACGAAAGTGGAGAAGAATGATTAATTAATCAGCCTCTCTCCCTCTCTTTATTATGTTTCTTTCTTTTCTTTTCTTTTCTTTTCTTTTCTTTTCCTCATTTCCGCCGCAATTCTTTGCTTTGCTTATAATCCACAACGGATTAGGACGTTTTGATTCCTTGTTGTTGTTTTCGTTTCCTTTCTTCCTTATCGGGATCCACGAGTTTCACTTCATCCTATTGCATCTCCTCTTACCAACCTGCGTCCCTGGATTTCTCAAGGTCCGTGTCTCTCTTCATCTTCTCCCTCCTACATTTCGCTCTCTTTTTTCTTATCATCTCTTTTGCTTGTTTGAGGACATATCCAATGCTTAATGATTGCTTTCCTTTTGCGTCTTGCTTCCGTTTTCACGTTGATTGGTAATACTAATAATCACATTCCTCATTGTCCTTGTATTCCCAAAATGGCAATGATTGATTTCCTTTGTCTTTATCTGGGGCAACTGCACTCCTCAATGTGATCAAATAAAGGGGAATTTCTTTTTAGATTAACCCAACCTTAGAAACTGAGGATGTTCACGGTTATGATAGTTTTGATCTTTTAGTAACATCGTTTAATATTGTTCTAGTTTTCAGTCTCTGCTGTAGCATGGGATCCAGCTTGGAGCTGGGAAAGAGTTCAAGCCACCGCCATAACTCAAAATGTCCTGTTCGACCGCGTAGCGACTTGTATTGTGTGTCAACCAAGGGGACCAATATTGCTCGGGAAACATCGTACCGCCAAGCTAACAGAGTCGAACAGAGTCCAATAGGAGAGGACGAAGTTGTTAGGCATATGTCAAACTTGCCTGCTTATCTCCTTCACACACGCAGAGTAGAAAATCTCCAAGACAAGGTTTTGAATGTTGGGGTTCTCGAGTGGACACGGCTTCAGAATTGGAAGCACCACCATATTCGCTGTCCAACACGAGCTAAAGATGTTGCTAGCTGTTCAAATACTGCAATCAAGGGGCGGAAAAAAATACAAAGGAATTACACATCATCCTCATTACAGGGAAATGTTTCAAACCTGATGCAACAAAAAGAAAGGACAAAGCGTTCAGGTGGGACGATGAGTTATTCAGAAATATTTTCTCCACCCGGTATTCTCTTCTCTTCTGAATGTCCACTGCCTTCTTTAGCCGACGTTAATAATCCCATGATGGGTAGAATGCAACATCCTCTGCTCTGTCATACTACCGCACAACTTTCATGTTTGAGACCCTCTGGAGGTAAACAAACGGAAAAAGGAGAGTCGGACATTAAGCTTACCGGTTGTCCAGGTAGTTCCGATCCAAACAAATCTGGTCTTGTGATGTCTGAAAATACCAGTTGTCCACATAGTTCAGATAGGAAGAAAATACCTTTTAAAAGGTTGATGAAGCCAATACTGAAGCATAAATCCTCAAATCCTCAACATCCTATTGAAGGAAACGTCAACTCATTAGGCCGTTGCCCAACTGGTGTTGGCAGTGCTCACGACAAGAAGCATGCTGAATCACCAATGCAGGGCCTTTTGCAGTTCACCATAATGAATGGTTTTCCGTTGTTTAAATTATTGGTGGATAACAACAGAAATGTGCTTGTAGCCACGGCTAAAGATTTAACCCCGTGTGGGAAGAATGGAGCAGCAGGGCAGAGTTGTTATACATTCTACCTAGTTAATGAAATCAAAAGTAAGACTAGTGGTTGGAAACGACCAGGGAATAGGGATAGAAGTTATGGCTATGCCTGCAGCGTCATTGGACAAATGCAATTGAATTCCGATTATGAATACAGCAACGGTAAATGTATGATGATAACAGAATCGATTTTGTTTGGTGTTGAGATGAGACCAGAAGATCCAGAATCAGCAATCATAATGAAAAATAGAGAACTTGCAGCCATTGTTTTAAAGGTTCCTACCGAAAACCCGAAACATGATGGGCAACAAAGTTGTAACGTTTTGATAGAGAATGGCATGAAGTTTTTGTCAGAGGATAATGGTGTAGTAATACTTCCGGGGGATGTTCATGGGTCACCAAGCAGCGGACAGCCTTCCACATTGATCAATAGGTGGAGATCTGGCGGAGTTTGTGACTGTGGTGGTTGGGATATTGGTTGCAAACTGCGTGTGCTTTCCATTCCGAACAAACTAATTACATCCAAGGCGTGTCCTATTTCCATGTGCCTCCAACTTTTTGTTCAGGTAAATCTTTAAATTTTGGTTACAATATTTCAGCATGAACTAAAAATCTTGACTCTCCGTTTTGTTTCAGGGAGGTGAACAAGATAAGCCCGTCTTCAGCATGACACCCTTGAAGGGTGGGTTCTTTGAAGTTTGTTTCGATTCCTCCATCTCTCTGTTACAGGCGTTTTTCATATGTGTTACAATTCTAAATGGTCAGAAAAAAAGATGAAGTATCCCAAGACTAATGGAATTAATACAGTCCGTGAAAGTTAGGTTTGTTTCCTTGTATCTAATCTTTTGCTTGGTTGATAAATCATATCAAGTCCAAACGTGTTGACATATCCAACATCCCCTGTAGCATCAACTTGAACGTCCTTGAGGTCGTTATGAGGTTGTCGTAACCAGATAGCCCCCTCATTCCCGGGTGGACGCAGCAGACACCATCTCCTGGTGCCCAGAGAGTTTGCATTCAGTGGGGCGAGCAATAATGCCTGGTAGGCCTTCTGAACTGAGAATTAAGGTTGTTGGGCTTTCAACTTTGGTTGCATCTTGCTTGTCTTGGAATCATGTGTTGCGTTGAATTTGGTTGGGTTTTGGTGTGTGTGTGTTCAGATTCCTGAGGCTGCAGCCTGGCTTTTTGTGTGTCAGCCTCTCACCCAAAGCCTTTCCTTTTTTTTACTTTCTTTGAATGCACTACTATTCAGTATACCTATCCCTTTCCTCTCCGACTTGTCATGCCTTGTTACAAATTACAAGATTCTTTTGTCTTCTTTTCTACTAATAATAACTTCACCTCCACCACAAACCTGACACCCCCCCAATACTAAAATGCCTAAAATACTCGACTGTTCATACTTCCAAGTTTCTTAAACACATCCACAACCACCCATTTTGCCTTACCCCTCTGTTCATAAATTGACAACTATATTGTCTTCAAGTGAGAACAACATTTTGAACCCTAATATAGTTTGTGAACAACTATATTAATTTTTTTATTAAAAAAAAAGAAAAAGAAAAAGAAAAGAAAAGAATGGCAGGCCAAGATATCATCCCCGTCTCCTCTCGACGCTGGCAGAAGCGTTCGTGGGGTCCAACCTCCAAACCCGAAAAATGCCTTGGCGTGGACTTGACCCCTTCATTTCAGTTTTCGTTTCCCTTTTCCCTTTTTATTTTCAAGGTTTCTCTGGACTATTTCAAGGTCTAACAGTGAGATATTTTTGGGAAACATAAATACAAAATTTGTATTGTAATAATATATATTCCTCATTTTACGTATCAACTTTTCTTTTTTCCTTTTCTCTTTTAATTTGGGCTGCAAACCCAAAGCATTGCAGGCCACCGGGACGACACGACGGGTTCGAACCCTCTCTTATTCCCAAATTAAGAACTAAAAAGGTAACTTTGTCTTTCGACTGTTTTTCTTTTAAATAAACAAATATAGTGCTCATTTATACCTCATTTTCTTTTTCTTAACTAATAATATCCATTTCAATTCTTTTTTTCTTGAAAAAAGAAACAACGTAGATAATTAACTTCTCCTTTCTCGAAGTGTAAAGTTGGCTGAACTTTGGGAGAATATATGCCTTCTATTTTTATTATTGACAATAAATAATAAAAATATTAATTTTTATGCAAACTTTCACGTGAATATATATCAGAATTAAAAGTTTGTATTTAAAATAAAAAAATAAAAAATTCTAGAAGTCACCGTAAATTTAGGTTTTAAAATTAATTTTTGGGGTCTCCGGTTATTTAATATTATTATATTGATGGAGAGAAAAAAATACATATATATACATATATATAGAAGAAGAGGTCAGAGCCAAAACGGCAAATCTTTCTTCCATATTCTCTGTTTTTGTAGTAACAAGCAGCCTTCCCCCTTCATTCACCCCCCCTCTTCTTTCCTCTTCTCAACTGTCTTTCTCCATTTCGCCTTTTTTCTTCTTCTTCTTCTTCTTCTTCTTCTTCTTCTTCTTCTTCTTCTTTCATCCCTCCACACACCCACTATCATACAACAATCCAAAGGGCCCTCTTTCGCTTTCGGCTCTCTTCTTTCACTAATGCCTTGTTTTCTTTCTCATCCATCGCTTCCCCTTCTGCTGCTGCTTTTCCATTGCAATCCCTGACTTGGGTCTTGATTTTGAAACTGGATCTTTCTTTTCAATCTGGATTTCCCGGTACCGGCATTTCGTTTTGACTTTGCCGCGCTTTGCGGAGTTCGGTTTCATTTATTTTTCTTTTCTGGGTTGGGATTGATTTCTACGCATTGGTAACCAGATATCGAACTTCGCGATGTTGACCTTCAGAGTTTGGGTTTGAAGTAATATGGAAGCGGTGGTTACGCCCATTCAAAATGAATCTTTACATTGGTCGCGAAGCGTCGAAGGTAGGTTGGTTTCTTGATTCAAAATTTCACATTTTTCTGCCTCTCCTTCTGCTGCTGCTTTCCAAATCATATTTTCTTATTTTTCCTCTTTCCTTCTTCCCTGTGAGAAGCTATGGAAAAGATTCTGCGCAGAGATTAGTACGGAGATCAGCCTTCTCATCGACAACTGGAAGTACCTTCTTGGTGGACTTATTTTTCAGGTATTTCTTTCAATCTATTTCAATGAATCGTCCCGCATTAAACCATTTTTACTTTTTTTTTTTTTAATTTCCCCCTCTTTTTAAATAATGTTGGTCGGCTTGTTTGTGGGCCCTTGCCCATTCATCTTCTTCCCAATGGAATAATTATTCGCCAGGCTTCGTTTTAAAAGAATTAGAAGGAAACAAGATCCTTTCTATGGCAACCAAACATTTGGAACCGTCTATATTTTAAATTCGAATTGATTTAGTACTTTGATGAATCTACGTCATTTGTTTCTCATTATGCAACCAAACATTTGGAACCGGTAAAGTTTGGACACGTAATTTGTGCCAAGTTTTTAAATTGTATAAAGTTTTCCATCTAATATATGCATCCAGTAAATCAAAAGTAGAAGTGACGACTGAACTTTTATCATCTTTTGGAAATGCAACTTTTGTAATCAATGACTGAAGCATGTGGATGGCTTTAATTCATAATTCTAGTGGTTTTAGAGAAGGAGGTAGAAATATGCGCTCTCCATTGTCCAGAATTGTAGGAAATGTCCTCTAAATCATGTTTTCTCTAGCTAACTGCTCTGAAGGCAAGTTCTTGATCATACCTTCTCCTCTTAGATACAGCATTCTAATTATAGGATCTTGTATTCTAGGATTTTGTCATTTTGTCTTCTTGTATGTCTAATGTATAGAGCATCTTTCTTCTCGTCAGTACATACATGGAGTTGCTGCTCGGGGAGTTCACTACATACATCGTCCCGGTCCAATTCTTCAGGATGTTGGTTTCTTCCTTCTCCCTGTCAGTATTGATCTCTCTCATCCTTATCTTTTATCTTCTTCTATTCTATTATTGTTTTTTGTTGTTGTTTAAGTATATGAGCTTTTTGATATGTAGGAGTTAGGACAAGACAAAGCTTACCTCAGTGAGACTCTTTTCACATTCATATTTTTATCCTTTGTTGCGGTAAGTGATATCCTTTTTTTTTTTTTTTTTGGACTTAATGGGTCTGTTTAGCTGGTTTCCTGTTTTCAAAAGATTTTTACACCCACACAATATAATTATGCATTAACATGTGTATCCCAATTGCTATGTTTTATGTTTCCCTCTGATTGATTTACTTTCTATTTTTCCCCATTATTTGCAGTTCTAGGTGTACTAATGGATTTTGTTTAATAAAATAACTGCAGTGGTCTTTCCACCCTTTTATTCTTAAGAGCAAAAAGATCTATACAGTTCTCTTGTGGTGCAGGGTTCTAGCATTTTTAGTTGTGAGTATTCATTCATTTATCACACCAATTTCTCATCGTTCATCCGAGTTGGTTATCTTGCTTTAAAAATATTAGAACATTTTTGCATCCCCTAATTCAATGATTGAATCTGTTTTCACCAGGGTTGTCAAATTCTTCGTATCTTAACATTTTATTCTACACAGCTGCCCGGTCCAAACTATCACTGTCGTGAGGTACATTTTTTTAAAAGTCGTAGTGATGTACTAATTTGTTTTTATTTTTTTTAAATTTCTCCTTATGTGTTGGTTATTTTCATTTGTAAGAGGCATAATTCCTATATCTTTTCTATAAATTTGTGTAGCAGTAAAATTTGATGATTGTTTAAACGGGATAATTTATGAACTCTGGCTGTATTATGCAGGGTTCAAGACTTGCCACATTGCCTCCTCCAGATAATGCCTATGAAGTTCTATTCATGAACTGTAAGCATTTCGTAGTCTATTTGTACTTTATTAGTCAAGAGTATTTGTTCCATGGTTTTGTGTTTTTTTCTTTTTCTTTTTTACGAGTCTTACTCTGCTGGTCCAATGCAGTTAGGGGGGTATTATACGGTTGTGGTGATTTGATTTTTTCATCGCACATGATCTTCACTCTTGTTTTTGTGCGGAGTTATCAGAAATATGGCACACAAAGGTGCTTGCTTATCCATGGTTAATACATTTCGGTCTTTGTAATGTTGCATGCAGACCAAAATTGTTTTTGTTCGTTACTACAGGTTTATGAAGCAATTGGCATGGTTGCTTGCTGTGACTCAGAGTTTGTTGATTATAGCATCCCGCAAACATTACACCGTAGATGTTGTGGTTGCATGGTAAGCGTAACACTTATGATGTGTTCTTGTTCAGATCTTTCCATATCGTTCGTTATCACTAACACACAAACGGTTGATTCTCTATAGGTATACTGTTAACTTGGTGGTGTTTTTTGTGGACAAGAAACTACCAGGTTAGTTTTTGTAATCATGGATTGTTGGTTGTCCTGATGTAGAAAGTTTAATCTTTTATGTATTGGGCTTTCATGTTGCAGAGTTGCCTGATCGTACCAATGGGACTGCACTATTACCATTGAGCTCCAAAGAGAGAGATACCAAGACCCGAGATGAGAGTCACAAGCTCTTGAATGGGAATTCCGTAGACCCCACTGATAGGGTATAATATGTTGAATAGTTCCCTTTCCCTTTTGGAGTTGGGACTGTAAAACCACTCTAACATTTACGTTGTTCTTTGTTGTTTGCTGTTTGTTCTTCAGAGGCAGAGGACTCAAGTAAATGGCAAGACTCCTGAAGATGGGAACGCCGCCCATGTTAATACCACGATGAATGGGGCTTAGCACAAACAACACAGAACTGCTTGTGGAGGATTGTTTATTTCTTACAATGTAGACTAATGGCTTTCCTTGCCTGTGGTTGCCTCCTTTTTCCAAGACTGGTAAAATCTGTTATTTATCCTATCTTATTGGGAAATGCCGTATTTAGATTTACTTTCTTACAGTCCCATTTCTTTGTTTAATTTTTTTTTTCTGAAAATTGCCATTAGCATTTTGGCAATTATTTAGGCAGGAAGTAAGAGGACTGGATCCTTCTTCTTTTCTCTTAGTTGGATCAGGGAATTAACGTCATCTAACGTAGTTCATTGGTTTAGACTATTTTAAATTTCACTTAGTTTATTGTAACTAAAAAAATTTAATGATCAAGTCATCAAAGTCGACACTGTTATAGATTACTAAAAGTTTTACTTTTTCTTTTTGTTTTTAAAGGGTAGAAGGCTATCTAGATATGTGCTTTGAAATGCATTGCCTTATGCAATGGGAATGCCACATTGTAAAAGAAATCCTATGTTTTTGCTCATTGCTCATTCATTTTCTTGCTCTATTAGATTCTCACTTGAATGAACATAGTTTCACATTAATTATAATAGCCTAAGATAGTAAAGATTTTCTGCAACCTGAAAGAGAGAGAGAGAGACTCGCCAGAAGATGATAATTAATGTCTAAGGAAGAGTTGAAAGATACGACATCCTTTGAGGTATTATTGCCTTCTAAAAAAAAAATCGTTGTTTTTCCTTTTATGTAATCTTTTACTCTATTAGGGGCTGTGTGTGTGTGTGTGTACAAAGTGGCCTTCAAAAGTCACTTTCAATGATATTTGTTATGAAAGCCTCCTGAATGCATGATTACCCAAATGATGCAAAATAGTGTGTCTTGGTCCCTATCTCGGTTGCAGTGTTTTTTTTTATATACATCTATCTAGGTGATCTCGACTTGGATATGACGATGCATTTCTCCCTGGGCAAGGGATGTGTGTTTGAAGAAGACAAATGTTAATAATGCAAGCCTTGTTAGACCCCACTGCATTTAATGTCACCAAATATCGAAGTGTAACGTAAATCTTAGTCACCTTCTTTGTGAAGGAATATTGGTTTCACAATGGTAGAGATAAGGACAAGTCCATATGGGATTCTTCATCAAAATCGAGGCCTCCCAAGATTTTAATTGGAAAGAAACATCTCTTTTTCTGAACAACAACTGCGTTAACAAAAAGTCCCAAATAAAGCCGCTTTAGTTTGTACAGATTCGTAGTTATCGATGTGTTCCAATAAAAGGGCAGCCCTTCACGCCACAATTTCATGAGTTTTCCCGACAGATTTTTGTTTGCACTTGACAACAGAGAGAGGTCCCATACACGCCTCGTCTTCCCCGACTCCAGGAGGGCTCACCTTCCTGTTTCTATCCACAAGGAAATTGCCTGCTCTTCGTTTAGGCAAATAAAAGATTGGCCTCTTTTTTATCATTTTCTATCACCTCTTCATTTCACTGTAAAGATGGGACCTTGAGAAAGCACAGAGCTTGTTCATGTGTTTCTCCTGTACATCGCCACAATCAACGCTCAATAACTAAATACTTTTAACAACAAACCATCCAGAGAAACCATATCGAAAATCCATAATAAGAATAGAGAAGGATGATGCCCAGTGGAATACTCAGAATCATCAACCATGTTCTTGCTGAACCACATTTCTCTGTAACTTGGAACTGAATGATAGTGCGTTGAAAAACTTGTGGAGAATGTTGGGAGAGGTACATGTGGACACTTGGTAGGCAATTCTCTGGAGGGAGGGTCTTTTGCAGCTACAACTTCTGCAAGTTCCTTGATCGCTACGTGGGCACATTGAAGTGAAACAGCCAAGATACAACAAAAGCAAATACCATACAAGCAAGCAGAAAATTCAGAAACCGGTGCCCACGCCAGAAGCTTTGGGAGTCTGATGGGGGAGTTGATGCAGCAACCGCAGTTGTTGAGGAGGCGTTGTTGGATTCATTAGATTGCTCTGTTAACTCAACCTCATTTGGTTCGACAATGTTTTGTGCAATGGAATGGCAAATCTCACATGTCCTAATGAGAAGGCTCAAGAAGATTAGGAATAATAAATAAAGTAGCCAAAGGAACAAATATGCACACAAAAATCACATTATGTAAATCTATCATGCAATGCAGCAAATGTAAGACCACCAATTAACAGGACATCGATTGAAACACACACCAGCAATAGTTGATTAAAGATGGCTGTAATCACCCATGTTCAGAATCACTGTCCGTGAACAATACTGTGGAACCTTTTTGTGAGTCTTCAAATCACTTATCAGTGGAATTCGGAGCAAAGTGCAAGAACATATCGTCTGTTCGTTTCTCAGTGATTAACAAATAACCCTTTTTCAAAATGTGTACTGACATATCCTATTCATGACATTGGAAAAGTACTTTTAACATCAAATCAAATATTCATCGTCTTGCTTCCACAATAGATGGTATTATATCCTAATCCTTTACATTTTGACAGCCTGATATCATCTTTTTTAGTATATATATCACAACAGATATACAAAATTCAACCAACTTCGCAACATTATTTTCCCTGAAGATAAGCATTGTGGAATATTAATCTTGTAGAGCAGCTCAGTACAGTGAACTCTCGAACAGTGACTTAGATCGAGCCAAGCCGATCGAAACAAAGACTATTGTAGTTGTAAGGAAAGTTAGATCAAAGGCATGAATCAGATCCATGAGAAGTGTACTGAAACAAATTCCATGTTCCATATATTTATCTAATGGGGCAACTGACTGTTTGTTGACACAAGATGAACTACCATTTGGATATGTTCGTTCATGAGATCAAGGAACTGAAAGAGCTAACTGTGTGACTAAAAAAGTTCGGAAAACTGAAAACTAAACTAGACATCCTTTTATGATCTGTTGTGTGATCAACATAATCTTTCCCCACTTCTATTGAATATGATCTGTTGTGTGATCAACATAATCTTTCCCCACTTCTACTGAATCATGGTTCAGACTAGCAAATGGAGTATCCACTTTACAGAGGGGGCGAAGAGACAAAGAGAGAGAGATTCCTAAGCCATCAGAAAAGGGACAGGGAAGAAGGAATAATCAGTGTAATGCACTTTCTTTTGCTTTACTCCTATTTCTTTTTGTTCGTCTAAGCGCTCCCTCTAAGTAAGCATTCTTTAATCTGCAACTTCAAGCTCATTACACTAAAGAGTTTTCCTTTAAGCCTCCTTAAATTAATGAATAGTGGAACCCCATGAGGATTATCTCAGAAGATGCTCATCACAAGAGCATGCTAGAGTAGAGCCGCAAGAAAATAATCTGAAAATATGCACTCAAAGAACTATCAAGCATAACATAACATAACATGAGTGAAAAAATAATCAGAAGCCATGGGAAACAGGGAGTAGACTTACTTGTTTCCTTTAATTTTGAACCAGGTTTCAGCACAATGCTTGTGAGCAACAGCCAAATCATCCTTGCACGAACAACCCAATTCGATTGGGATTCCAGACTCTTGGCTATTACTCTCCAAACCCAAATGACAAATCCTGCAATCCCTCTCTACTTTAGCCAAATGCACCTTGATTTCAGAAATCCCATTTTCATTTTCAACCTCCACCGAATGAACCGAAACCGACGAAACTCGGCGAGAATCCGAAGCAACCCCAACCTCCGGCTGAGAAACAAAAGAAAACCTAAACTCATCATAAGAACCACCGTTGGTCGACAAAAACTGAGAGGGACACGAACCCTCATCGGGGTCAGAGAAATAGACGCTACAATCGGCGCTCAAATCACTACCACTAACAGACCGCCGATGATTCCCCTGTTCCAAATCAATGTCGGATTGGGAAACTTCCGGAGGCGCCATTTTCTTAACCCACAAGCTAAAACTGTTTCACAAACACTTCCAGTACAGGGCAGACACATATCAGAGAACCAACAGTCGAGGGCTCCAAATAATTTCTCCAAAATTTACGAAGAAGTTGGGCATTTAAATACGTGGGTATTGGATTTGGCAACAACCCTTCAACTCTTCAATCATTAAAAGAGTGAAGAGGAAGCTAGAATAGAATTCATGGTTCCTCTGTCAAAACAATAGCGGATTTGGTAAAGAAGAAAACAATGGTCCAGCAGACAGAGGCACAGAGGTGTGGTGGCACTCACTGTTGGAAGGCTTGAGGAACGGAAGTGAGGACTGCAAAGACGAGCATAAACGTGGTATGGGGGTGACTAGAGAATTCGGAGGAAAAATGAAAGAAAAAATGGAAAAGTAAAAGAGAGAGAGAGAAAAAGAAGAAGGTTCTGGAAGATGTGTTCGCTTCCCAGTTGATTCCATACGCTGCTTCATCACCCCTTTCATTTTCATCAAACACTTGATGATCGGGAATGGTTCAGAAAGTGACGCTTACCCTTTTTCTTAATTTTGTCGCTATCAATAAATTCTTTATCTAATCTTCATATAAAAACATATTGAGTTGTGTATTTTCATCGTAATAACAAATTACGTGGACGAAATATCATTCCCTAGATTGCTGCCACGTGTCTATGATCCCATCCAATTTTCAAAATTTTGTTCCCACTTAAAACTTCATTAGGTAAGTAGAACAAAGGTGGGCCGCTTATTCCGCAGGGCCCAAAACAGAGGCGGCCCATATTTTGTTAAGGCGTGGTGTGCACGCGACGTAGAGGGAAATCCCCGCTTTTGTCTTGAAATAAGGGCGAGTTATTCTATTCCTTAATGAAAAAAGTTGACACATTCTGGACCCCACTATTTATTTTATAATTAGTGTCACCATTCATTTTAACTAACTAAAAATAATAATAATAATGATAAATCAGAAGAACAAATTAAATGGTAAAAGATTGTAGTTGGGCTATTAAAACCAACAATGATGCCTCAATTCTATAATAAATTGGCCACTCAAACAATTCATCTGCGTTGACTTGGAATTCCTCAATTCGTTGACTTTGACCATTTATACAAAATTCATAAGATGCTTAATTAATTAATTTCCACGTAATACAACTAACTTGTTTCACAAGAAATATAGTCTTTTTTTAGAACAAGTTATGGATTTATTAATATGCATGGGAGTAGCCTAATGAATTAAACCTATAGAAAAAGAGAATAAAAAAGAATATATATAAAGCAATGTTTTATTATTACACGAAACTAAAAGTATACATCGACTCGCTGTGTGTGGGAAATTTGAAAAGAAGAACAAAAGGAAACGACGTCGTACGTCTTATGATATCGAAATAAAAGGTGAATTCCGAAGAAAATCACTCATCTTTTACTATTCTATTTATTACCTCACAACTGTATAAAAGAAATTAACAATGAAAAAACCCAATAATAAATTAACTTAATTTTCACATGGGAGCTGGGGCATCGGCTGCAGGGAACACTCCTGTGGCGGCTGCGGATGACACCGGACCCGCGGCAGCCCCGGAGCTCAACAGCTCTACCATGGCACGGTGGGGGTTGGTGCGTTGCCTCTCACAAAGGTCGGGCAAGAACACTCCTGCAATATTCATTGTAATTAGGAAGGTGTAGGGTTTTGAGAAAATTATGAGTTGTTTCTAAAACAGGGCTCACCCTCTCCTGCAGCCATGTTGAAGTAAAGGTCCACAATATTGGGGCACTTCTGGTAGCAGGCGGGAGAGCAGAGGCTGGCGGTGAAGCGAGGGTCGAGGAGGGCGTCTGAGGCAATTCCCACGGAGTTGCGGTCCAGGCCACAAGCGTTGATGCACCGATCCGTCTCAATGTAGTTAGACATCCATTCCACCATCACCTCCGAGGTCCTGCATTGATACTCAAGCTTCCCATCTTTGTTCTCAGATGTCTCCAACAAACATCTCTTCCCCGATGAGGCTATTGAAAAAGCGCACACATCCACCGACAACTCCTCGCACACAAGCTCCCCTGCAACGACGACAACAAAAACAGAACAAGAATTTCATGTCAAACGTGTCCCGCCCTTGGAAAACAAATAGATAAGACTGTTAGATGAATATCAAACGTTGTTAGGTATTCCTTGATTATAAACCCATGATCGAACTTGCATCCAAACAAAGACGGCGTTTTATATGAACGTACCAAGAGCTGCAGAGACGAAAACAGAGGAGATGAAGAGAAGCAACGCCATTTTGTTGGAGATAGCCATGGGGAGTTTTAATCAAATGGTGGAATTGAAAGAGAGAGAGAGAGAGAGAGAGAGAGGGAGAGATTTATAGATATCGAGGGAGTTGCAATTGAAGGAAAGGTTGTGAATGGGGTATAAATAGAGAGCAACCCAGAGACGTACACACAGCGACGCCGGGTTTTGAAGGGTGGTTCGGGTGCAGCGGCCGTTGTGTTCTAGTTGGCAACGCGTTAAATCTAAGGCTGTAATTTGTGTTCAAAGTCAAGTTTTAAGCTTGGTTCTGGTTGCCATTTGGGGCTTTCTTTCTTTTTCAATTGGAATAAGTTCGTGGTGTGATTGGTGCATTTTTGTTGTTGACGCCTAACAAAGCCGCGTATTTGGTTTCTTTTGAAGGTTTCCACATTGAAGAAGCTTCCACGGTGTGGGATACGGTTATTATTATAATCTTAATTTCAGGCCAAACCATACCTTCTCCCAAAAATAATTGATTATTTACAATGGATGAGTAAGGTCATATCGTCATCTAAGCTCAATTATCATTCATTTTCATACATAACTTTGAGTTGAGTCGGTTAAATAACAATAATAATAAAGCTACTAGGTTATTAATACATTAGAAAAATGATTAACATTAAAAAGACTATGTGGGTTGATTAATACCCCACATTTAACAATTAATGTCAATTAGGGAAAGTCATAAGGTGATGTATAAGTTTAGCATTTACTGAGGGGTTAAATTGCAAGTAGTTTTGTAATTAAAAACACGAAATTTGGCAAGTTGGAAAGGAAATGTATTTATTTTCATGCATAAACAATGTTTTTCTTTAAATGTTATAATCTCAATAAATGTGAATAAATTGTGCGAGAGGTTTGGTCTGACTTCCATTTTAATTTTAATTTTGTGGTATTTAATATTTATTCCTTTTCAATGGAAAATGAAAACTTGCTTCTAACTTTTTCTTTACCCTACGAAACTAGACCTTCTTAAACAAAAATACTAAACACATCTTTTTTCAATTATTTGACTTTTAATGTAATTGAAATTTGACGCTAATTCCTTTTCTTCAGCCTTAAATCTAAATGGACGTGATTTACATGCACCAACATTTTGAAGCAACATACTTACAATGAGATGTTAGCTCTGAATACTCCAATAAGAAATGAGGAAAAACAACACTTAAAGAGTTGAGGAATCCATGAACTAGAAATTCAAATTTATGATGGATTTAAATATTCACACTTATATCATCTATTTCTCCATTTAGATAGAGTGAATTAAAATAAGAAATCATAGTTTTAATCAAACAAAATTGAATTGAATTAATGTTGGTGGTCTGCATCTTTAGCTGTTTCATTTGTCCTTTACCGTTTCTTGGGTTCAACTTTCATGGCATTTGTCCCCGGCTGCCATTTGTGTGTCCTCGCAAATCTTACCAACCATTTTTTTAAATTGTTGATCACTTTTTTATCTAAGCAACAGGTAAAACATAATCAAACTGCGGTTAGATTGAGTTTCTTTTTCCTTTTCCTTTATATTTCCGAAAATTTACACCCATAATGCTCGATGAAGAAAATAAAATAATTATTACATTATTCATTCTAAATAAATAATAATGATAAAAATTAAAATATTAATAATTTTCAAATAAAATCTTAAACAGGATTAATTAAACAAGTGTGAAAAGGATGCATTAATTTTTTTCCATATTATTTAAACATGAGGCAATTTACCCATAATTTTATATACATTCATATAACTTGTGGAAGAATGCAACAATTTGCTAAATAAGGGTGAACCAACCTTCAAATTTAAAATTGGATGTTCACTCTTAGATGGGCAGCCGGTAATGACGAGTTGGGGTTTGACCTGTTATACAACTCCACGTGGGTTTTACACAAGATGAGAATAAGTGTGCTTTTCAAACATACGAAATATGAAAATTTTTGGTATTATATGCTTTCTATATCATTTTACAAAGATTCATTCAGGCGTCACTTCCTCCGCATCTACAATTTCATATCAATAATGACTCGGTCAATATTCAAATTGATCATTCCTGTTCCAAAGTCTATATTGTCATTCACTCCGGGAAATATCAAAGAAATGTCCTAACATATGTACTGCATTTATACAATTTCACCAGAACGCTCTGTAGGGAAATTTACATCTCATATTTCAAACTATAGAATGTACGGCATGACCAAATTACTCTAGCAGATGCAAATCGTTGCATTAGTATTTCCAGCATGGGGAAAGGAATGTCTTGAGGATGGAACTAAATACTACAGATGAATGGTAATTGAATCTTACCACCCAACTTTCTGGAAGTGAAAATGTAGTTATTTCTTAAGTTAAGAGTAAGTTTCTCGTCGGCTTCAGTCGTCCCTAGTTAAGCGGCAGAGTTATGTTGATCACAGATTTGAGGAACTACAATTTTTTGGCTGCAACATCAAAAAGTCAAGACTTAACTATGCATAATTTAAATATCACCTATGATGTGCACGAGTAAAGGTTGCATATGCTTTTACCTGGGCTTAAAATTCTTATGCATTTTGTCGTGGACTTCACTGCAGTCAAAGAATCCATGCCTGCATTAGTAAAATTTGCCCATGAACTTATGCATTGTTTAATAGAACTTCAAGAGGTGTAGAAGATGAACTACATTACCTTCTGTATTTGTATTTTTTCCAGATAAAATTTGTGTCACAGTTGATGAATATTCTGACATCATTTGATCAGTCCCCACGTTACAGTCCATGGACTCATGAGATGACCTGGAAAAAGAAAAACAATGAACAAATTGTCAGAAAAAGCGGCGAAGTAGTTCGTGGGAATTGCAGTGTGATGAGAAGAAGATTACCCAGAAAGAGTGTCTATAGAAGCCCCCAAAGTTGGGACGGATGAACAACCAACTACTTCACAATCCATATCCAAATCAGCCAACATTTCAGTAAAAGAGAAGTCTCCTCCAAAAACATCAAGAGAAGGCAGTTCAATGTCAAAAATGTCTAATTGCTTTTCGGACTCGGATGCATAAATATCATTTTCAGTCTCCTTGTCAGAGCTCATGGGTACATCTGAGACATCAAAATCTAGACGTCCCTTCACGTGTTCTCTCTTTCCCTGCCTTTTAGCGTTTGTCTTGACAGGGGAAGGAGATAAAATGCTGTGGTTCCTCTCTACAGAATAGTAAGCAACTTGCTTGTAAGGACTGATTGTCACTCTTTTTGATGAAATTACAGTGCAGCAAGTAGGACTAACGTTTTGAGGAGTATTGTTGTTACTGCAATCAGCAGCAGAGGAAATCTCATGTGGAGATGTAGACTTGTCGCTTTCACAAGAATTTGCACGGGGGGGAGTCTTTGGACCGGAAGAGTTGATTGGAATAGAGAATGAAGGTTGGTTGAACAAACATTTTACAACACTCGATCCTTGAACCACAGATACATTGGGGGTGCATCTAGGAGATGATGACTGAGTTTCATTAGAATGCTGGACAGTTGATTGAACATTGCCAGCGACAGTTGATTGGGAAAGTGCATCAGTATCTGTAATGTACATGAACTATATTAGATATGATTGAAAATAGACGCGCCTCAATCATATTCACAAACAATTTGTAAAGAAAGATTGCCTTTGCTAGCTGACTTCCTGGAAGATACTTTATTTCGAGCTCTCTTAGAAGCTGGAGGAACAACAATGGAAGCTTTGGAGCTTTTCCTCTTATTTGCTTCCATGTCATTATTAACGGGTGTTACGAAACTTTGAGATCCGCCATTGGTGTTCCGAGGTGTGACCTCTGGACGAATAGGTTGTGTAATGTTCATGGGACAGCCTGAGAGAAGTAGGTCTCATTAACGTCAACAAAAATGTGTCCAACTCACAATAGCTCAATTAAAGATTGGTTGCAAATTTTTCTGAAACAAGCAGGGGAAAATTAGTATAGAACAGTCTTAGACTGTTCTCCTGTGTATATATTTCACCAGAAGTTGGAAACCCCCATTGACGACTAAAAATACTGCTTAGCAACTCAATTATGACTAGGTTAGATTGTAAAGAAACCCACTCCCAAAAGTCTCCAAGAAAAGCAAAGAATAACCGGCAGTATAACCCACTCCCAAATGTAATGTATAGGACTGAATGTAGGATTTCACTCCCAATGAGTTCAGAGATCATTTCTTTTCATCTCTCCAGTACTATTGCAATTGAGTATGGAAAAAAGGGGAACTACCTGTTAATGCCTATATCTTCAACCTTTAGATCAAACCCGATAAATTTTAATGGATTTTTAAGTTTTTCAGAAAGCACATATGTTCGATTTTACTCAGAAAGTTCTAGGACGGTACCTGCGGGAGATTCAGATGGATCAGATTGACCAACAGCTACAACTTTATTTGGAGCAGCTGAAATTGAAGGCGTTGAAGACCTTCCACTGGCATTATAAGCACCCATAACAGTCTGCATACCCTGTAGAAGAGTGTGGACGCGAATCTTCTCTTGTTCCAAATAGCTTCTTTCTTGATCCAAAATCACCTTTTGTTCTTTCAAACTGATGTATTCATCTAACATCGCCTCTAAGCTGAGCAAGCTCTTCGGAGCCTGAAAGCCAAAAGAATTATTACAAAAAAAAAAAAAAAAAAAAAAAAAAAAAAAAAAAAAAAAAAAAAAAAAAAAAAAAA